CATGCCTTTCTTTTTAAAAGTGGATTGCTCTAATAATGTTTACTTTTTGACATTTGCAGAAAACTTACCTATTCTTTCAAGTGTTTGCTATGTAGTCCAACCTCATTATTTTATTTCTTTAAAATATTTTTACCCCACCTTTCTTTTAAAAAGGACCCAAACCTACCACTTGTTTTATGGACAATGCAACATATTTATATTATATGTCATATCAATGTATCATATTTATTGCCTGTTTTGTTGTTTTACCGGCCTTTGAAATCTTTGTATCTTAGCCAAGTATAAAAATATGTAAACAAACAAACAAACAAATTCAGCAAATCAGCTTCTTACATGACTTAGAGCAATTGAATCAATGGGAACTTGGTATGTTAACACTTATTACATAAGCTTACTTGATTCAGTGGGTTTAACAATTAGAATTAGACAAATTAGTTGGGACTAACAATTAGATTTGGACAAACTACTAAAGGTTAATTTCACAATGTTTCTGAATACAACATGCATATACCCCATCATAAAAGGCACCCATGAATCCAGATTAGACATGGGGGAAGGAAGAGATTGGTAAGGAGAACCTTTCTTGGAGAATATCTGCATATGTTTTGATGGCAATGCTGTGCTTTGTGTACTTATGGGCGGTATCACATGTTTCTTGCAAAATGCTTACAGATGATGAATTCCTTACCACTTGTTCCATGGATACTTCCTAGTTTTTATAGAAATGGGTCTACTAACAGTTCTGGATAATATTTCACATCCACCTATGACATTTTCATGATCACAGCAAGTACAGTCTTCCAACGCTTGGATTTAAGGGACCTAGTGTATATGATATTATCAGCATTGTGCCTTCCTACAGTGATGCATGGATGGCAAGATACTTGCTTTACAGAATCAAAGCAGAAAGCATGATGTTCCCATGCAAGACAGAGCTGTGGTGTTCAATGCTCACACTTGCAACATATAGCCAAATGCGGGCTGTATTACAGGAACAAAGAAAATCCTTTATAACTGATCAGCCTATCTATTCATCTAGCCCAATGATGGTGACCTATGGCACACGTGCCACAGCTGGCAGCAAGCTTTCTTCTGACAAGCGACAAACCTTTTGAAGTTGCTGTAGCTGGGATTCCCCCTTTCTCTTCCTGTTCTGGGTCTTTTAACTTCCTGTCCATCCCCATGATTTCCCCTTTAACTTCCTATCCATCCCCATGATTCCCCCTTTAACTTCCTGTCCGTCCCCATGATTCCCCCTGAAACTGCCACTTCTTGTTCCGGTTCTGGGTTTCCGGCCGGCACGGCAGCCACTGGTTTCTTCCCCACCCCCTCATTTTGGGCACTTAAGCTGAAAAAAGTTTGCCTCCACTGATCTAGCCCATTATCATCTACTTTGGAATCTACTGGCAGCAGCCTTCCAGAATTTTTGCCATAGGTCTGTACAGTCACCTTTTTACCCGATACGTTTAACTGCCTAGAAATGGCAGGGACTGAACCTCAATGTTTCTTGTACGCAAAGCATTTGCTCCATCTCCACTGAATTATATCATTCCTCTCTGGAACAATGGATGCTCCAGTAGATCTGAAGGAAAGAACATTCCCTTGTTCATACCTTTAGAATTGATGCTAACAGTTTCTTCTCTGCTTCCTCTCTCCCATAACATGGGAAGCTGTGAGTATACACACTGTATGAATAACCATACAGATGCACCTGTAATGTGTTATTCAATGTTTCAGTTGTTTCCTCGGGGATGAATGATATTTGGGTAGAGGCCCCTCCTAGATCAAGTGCACCTGTAGTCTGTGCTCCATGCGGATGGACCCAAGCACTCCAAATGTCTTTCTAGAAATAAAGAAAGTAGATTGCAAATTTCATCTGCTGTGGGGTTCCATTATCTCCTCACACTCATCTTTTTTAGCCTATATGGCATTAGAAATGATCACTCAGATCAACAAGAAACAATTATGCTCAGATTGTTCATGAGAATCTTAAAGAATATTTCAAACATTAAAGTGTAGTTTTTGAAATTTCACTGATCACTTTGCACAGATTTGAACAGTGTGACAGGATCTCCACCATGCCTTTGCTGAGATGGCTGATAGCACATATTTTAATACCATTATATCCAACCTTTTTTGTATCATGACATTTAAGAAAAGTATGGTTACCAAATTCCAGATAGGCTCCTGAAACATAGATTGAAGTAAATTCAAAACATTGGCCAGTTCTAAATCTGGTAACCATCATTTCCCAGTTGTTGTTGTTTTTTTGGAGGGGGGAATCTTTGTGAGTAATTAGGGATTTACTTCCTGTTTTACCGAAGTGTTTTAAGAGGGGAAGAGCAAGGGGGATGAATGTGCATATAAAAGACTTCTTAAATCAAGACATGAACATGTGGGTTGGGCACCTAATTCCTCACCTAACCCATCTTATATAAACAAAATAATCATTAACTCCCTTGAAGTGGTACAAACTAGTTTAATAAAAATGCATTCCGTACTTGTATAACTAATCAAAGCCACCTTGCAGGTGTACTTCTTACCATCAGTTTAAGAATTCCCACAGATCAAATAGGAGATACATTTTTTTAAATTTTGGGGCCCAACTCTTCCTCAGAGTCCTTTTTATTGTTTGGCACCTGACCTAGGAATAGAATTGCTGGGTCTCAAGGCTCTGGCTGAAATCTCAGGTAATGGCTATCATTCTCAAGGTCTTCTAGCAGGAAGGCAAATCTGGGAGTAGGCAGTGCTGATGGAGAAAGTTTGATTCCTGTGTGTACACTAGTTTAAAGCTTGGGCACCTGTCTTCACTCTTTGCTAACTAATGCCAATGCTCACTGATTACGTATGGCAATGTTTGTATGTGTGTTGTGCTTACACAACATCTGTGCACTAAAAGCCTGGAAGGTAGGGAACCAGGGAGAGAGACAATGGGTACATGCATTCAGGATCACTGGGTCATCTGGCACCAGGCAGAAAAGGCAGACTGTCAGCAGAATGAAATCCTTTTTGCCTACGCCTTCCATAAACCATAGCAATCTGGAAAAACTCATGTCAAATGTTCTGTAGGCAAATCCACACAGATTACAAGTCCCATCACAATCAAGTTAGATGGTCTATGTTGATCAACATATCAATTATGATGCAATAGAAATTAAATATAATACACAATTATTTCGCATACGAATAAATTCCCAGAATACTTGAGAAATGCTTTAAATCTGATCCACAAAGATTGAAAGCATCCCTTTATCATTGCCCTGCCTCTTTTTATTAAGCACTAAACTGGTGAATATATTAACAGGTTTTCAGAAATCTGCAAGAAACTGTCTTGACATTGAACTAAGCTCATTGAGCTAAGAATAAATGAGCCAAGAGTGAGTCACAGACATGATCACAGATGAACATTAATAATGGAGCCAAAATCCATCTGAAGGTCAGTGGTACAGTATTATATCTATGGTTATAATAACATAGCTGAAAGATTTTCGCTGATTTTTAAGCAGATGTTTGAAACAAGGTTAAATACTGCTGATTCTTTCCTCTGCAAAATATGCAGAACAGAACAAGAAGGATAATGTTGCATATTGTGATACATGTTTATAGACAATGATTTTTGGCCAGTTAGTTTTCTAAGCACTGCAGTGTCAGCATGAAAACCAACAGGTAATATTTTCCTCCATGTGGCATTGCAATAATAGAGAAAGATTCCGCTCTATTTTGTCAAAGAAACAGCAGCAAAAAGAAGGAACAACTGTCTGTAAACACAACTGCAGGCATACTAAACCCTTCTCATGAATTTAGTGTTTCAGCACAGCATAGGAAGAAGAAGAGAAATCCTCCAAAATAAGAGGGGGAAACTGCATTGCATCCAGTGAGGGTTTTCTATAAGTATATTGGGATCTGTCATCTCTTTAGAGTAGACAGGCCAAGAACCATAAAAATACCTGCCTACAGTTGAAAACATCAGTGAAATCAAAGGGCTCTCCTCATCTCCTGGCAAGATAAACTCTAAGAGGCCTCTTAAAAGAACATTTTGAAGAGTAGGTGCTATTAAAATGACTCAACACCAGCATTTTATGTGACTCATTAAGGAAAACAATAAGAAAATGTATTAACCAAGACAAAAAACTATTGCAACTTATGAACTTTTGGCATCAACACATTCCAAAACTATTGCCATGGTTTCAGAATTTAAAACTGTATGACAGTGTTAATAAATCCGTATTACAACCTTCCTTTTCATAAAATTTGGACACTTATCTGAATATACCCATTTAAACACCAGTGAATTATTTATAAAGCAATAGTATGTAATAAAACATGCAGAGTTTTCCACACACCTCCAAGAAATTGTCCTTTAAATAGTTGGCTGTAATCCATCCATATACCCCTTCCTCTTGCCCAGTTATGATTTGAGCACCCCTAAATTCAAAGGGCTGAGATGTGAAGTAGTTTTGAATGCTCTCAAGGACTTCATTGGCTGCTGATTCATTTTGCAACCTAAGCAATTCACAGAACGCAAAATGCTGAGTGTCTGGAAGGAGACATTTACCCTTCATTTGGTCTATCTAATGCCCAGAAGAAAAGTTTATTATTTTCTACTTTGAACTTGGAAGGACAGGCTAATTCATACATGCAGAAACATCACTTAATTCCCCAACATTTTGATAAAATGCGTGGAAGTCAGAATGTGCAAATGTTACTTTTTGAAAATTTACAGCTATCTGACTTCCACATTGGCAGTGGGATTTTGAGAGCTATAATTTTAAAAGTATCTGTTCTAAGCTCTGGACTTTCTTCGCTGAAAAATGATTGGCTGGCATTTGCAACTGGGCTGGCAGACACAGATTTTCCCATACTCCCATTCTACGGCATGCTTGTTACAGACAACCCTGTCCGGCTTCCACCCTATTCATCAACCGTTTTGGAAGTGCTGCTGAAGGGAGAAAGGGAAGGAGTCTGCTTTTGCTAGCCTAGTTGCACATGCCTACATTTGGATCCAACTCAACGTAGTTGGGACAATAACCTGAAATATTGCTTTAGTATTAATAATGATTAATCTGGCGTGGCTAATTCATGTACCATCATGTCTGACAAGTGATGAACATGCATGTGTTAACATGTCCCAAGATGCACACCCAGCAAAACTAAATGTGTAATCCTTGCTTCTTCTTCTTTTTATTGAATTAAGTATTTTCAATTGAGTTTACTCACAAGTATATGTGTACAGGATTTCAGGCTAGGGAATAAGTTTTGCTGAGCTTGTTCTGAGTAGATACGTATAGAAATCACATTGCACACCAGTCCCAGATTCAGCAATGGCAAAACATATATTAAAGTTAACAAGGAATACAGTTTTCCTCCTACAAAATCATTTTTAATAAACAGAGATTTGATGTGCATTATCTAAAAGTTCCAGATACTACCCTGTTCTGTTTGTTTCAATAGTGAGCATTGTATATGTCATGCTAAAATGTTTAGAAAATATATGATTGTCATACCAAAACAAAAAAAATGTAAAATCCATATTTATATAATTGTATCATAAGGGTTTCATTTTAGTCTTGAGTGTCACACCCTATATCAACTATAATGTACATATCAGCAGTCACAGCTGATATAGTATGAAGCAGGACATTGTTTTCCATGTATTAACTCTGGGTTACTTTAAGCAAACCAATGGACAAAAACACAACAAGCATTTCCTTTTAATGATATAACAAAATAAGGAATCCAGACCTAATCAGAGTCTGTTTTATTGTGCTGCAAACCACCAGTGCCAACATGGTGATTCTATAGCAACATGTTGGCCCTTATCTGTGTTGCGTTTTTGCCTTTAAATCTGCACACTTAAATGTTTCTTTGCACAGCTACCTGTGTACCAACAAATGTTGACTGGTCACATGTGAAACATGGATCAACCCCATCACCTCCTTGGTTTTCATACAGGAGTAGCAACACGGGTACAAAAAGAACAAGAACAGGAACCCTAGGGTGGTTCTTTTAATGAACTGCCCTAGGGTTCTTGTTCTTCCAAATCCACTAAAGAAAAAGGTTCAACTGTGTTTATTGAGAAATACTCAAGAAATACTCACGGTCACTTAGGTCTAAAATCTATTTTCTTTAAAGCCGATGATAATTACAGTGAGTTTAAGCTGAGGGAATGTTGTACTTTCCAATAGTACCCCCAAGAAAGATCAAAACCCTTCTTCAAGAATTGCTTAATCTGCCCCATCCACTAATCTCCATTGATTGATAGGTTTTTAACGCAAGGCAGAGGAAACTTAATTGTGAACTATTATTATTCCACTCTACTGCAGTTCTTGTTATAACAAATGGTGAAGAATTGCACACAGCAGTTTTATCTTGCTGATACATGTCTAAATTTCCTATAGATTTCCTCCCATACCTCAGAAGTCTCATGCCAGCTGTGGCTCCCAGGTAGACAGGCGTGCTTCTATGTAAGTGAAAAGGTATTTTCTCTTTGACTTTATTCATACAGTCATCGATGGGCTTAGATATTTCTTGAGGGTTACTTCCATAGCTGGATATTCCAGGACCTACGAGAAGGTAATTCAAGGATTCAATTTACCAAGAATACTGTATTTTAAATCTTAATCACAAAAAATCAATATAATAAAAATCAGAAGCTAGCATTGCTTTGCTTTACTTTAAGCAACTAAACACTACATTTCATTCTGCATCTTGCATATACTTTCAGCTTCCAATGATACTGCAATAATATTCTACAACTGCCCATTCATTCCAGATACATCAATAAACAGAGCACTAAAGGGAGAATATTTCTCAGATTTCAACAATAACACAAGAATTTTTTAAAATATAAAGCAATTTCAATTTATTGATGTAAAAGGGACTAAATGCACCAGGGCAGCCAGCACAAACCAAGAGATATCTTACATAAGGCTGTGAAAAAAAAAACTTTCGAAAATCACAATAGCAGTACAAAGCACCACCGCAGAGGAGCACTGCTAACAGCATTGCATACAAAATCACACAGAAAAGTGTACATAAATACTGTAAGCTTTAATTGTTGAGGGGTTTGGGTGACTTATGAAGATAGCTGAAGAGCTGCCCTGAACATATTTGAGACAAGCTGTGACTGGAAACAACATTCAGACTGTGGACAAAATCTTTAGGGACTTTTGGATTTGAGAGAGCACAGTTTCAAACCTGGTTGGTGCTGAGAGCAAAGATTATGTCATACATACACATATACACATACACATATACATATGTACACATACACATATACACATACATATATACATACACACACACACACACAAAGTAGTCTGCCCTCTAAAGTGCTTGCAAAGCTTCAAAAAAAGGCCAAACTGAATTTTGGTTGCTTATCCTATTTCACCTAAGAAAGCCAAAGAATCTTTCCACAATTTGTTCAAATCTGACACCCATCCCTATTTTTCATTTTGATGAACGAGATGAGCAGCAAAATTGTAAAGAGCCTGTGACATTTAAAAACATATCCCATGCTGGTTGTGATCTGTAAAGCCTTAAATGTTAATCTCATTTAAAAGTTTATCTATAGGGACAAAAGTGGGATAGTAATAAGTGTTAATAAATATTAATTAATTAATTAGAAACAGGCAAACCTGAGATTACCCAGGTTTGCCTGTTTCTACATGAACCTATCTGCAAGATGAGGTCTTCAGCTATTGCCCTTCTCTGGTCTCCCTCATAAACCAAGACAAGGCTGGCGATAACCTTGATGAGATCTTTTCCATTGCAGAGTCCCATCTTTATAACATTCTCCTCAGACTGTTTCTGCTATCTTTTTTTAAAATTATTATTATTTTTACACCAAATAAAAATCTCCTTGCTTGCCAAACTTTTAGATAGTTATTCTCTTTGGGTTTTTTTAACCTTCTCCTGCACTGTATTTGATGTTTTAAAAATGATAGCTGTTTTAATCATTTCAATGTAAACCATGTTGTGAGGTTTACCGGTACCTGTATAAGTGGTTTATAAATGTCAAAGGTAAATACAAAAAATATAAAAAGTGTATGTACCTGCCTTACCTCTGTCCCCATGTCTAATTTACAGCAGTACATCAACCCTACAGAATGCTGATTTTTTAAAAATTGCACCTCCTAGAATCTAGTGGGAGGTGGGTGAATACAAACTATGAGAAATTTACTCTTAAAAGCTAGCTTCCTCAAGCTCTCATCAGTCCTGGGAGAAACTGCTCTAGATGTAACTTGAGACAACATGCCTGCAGGTTATAAGAGCCATACCATTTTAGCAGTAGTTCCACTGAACTTTCACCTGTGCCATGAACCTGGCACTGTAACTTGTGACCTGCCTCACACAGATCCATCAAAGATTATTACTAAATAAGCCGTTCTGCCTTGCCCTCTTATTAATTCAGCAGGCAATCCCTCTCCTTTTGTTTACAAGGAGGTAGCACATAAATGGATTTAATCATATATCTTAGTTCAAACTGCACAAACTGGGAGCTTACAGAACTCTTATTTCAGAGCTCAAAAAGAGTCATGTTTGAATGGAATACAGCGAAGGGTATTTTCAAGCTGCCACCACGGGTCTAAAAGCAGTCTTTTGGCACTTTAAAGCCTAACAAAGATCTTACAGCTTGAGCTTTCCTGAGCTACAAGACAATGTGTCAGAATCTGAAAAAGCAAGACTTACCTTCACTCGGAAAGCACACCCAGAAGGTTCATGAAAGGAGGATGAAGATAAAAACCAATGAAGGCCATTCTTTAACATGGGAAGATTCAAATGTGTGGTCTTACAACTAAAAAAAGCCCTCATGACATGAAGCAATCAGAATGAGAACTCTGCTTCAGAATACAGCCAAACATGCCATGCCAGTTCTTTCATTAGTCACAAAAGCAATCCCACAAAGGCAATAATTTCCAGACCAGATTCTATTTGTAGACATCAGTGCCTGTATAACTATTCTTATAATAAAATGAGCTTGAACAGAACATCAAATGTGGCCACAGACGTAAGTTAAAAATGGCACTACCTAATTGCAGGCATGAAAGGAGATGTTCCTGAGTTGAAAATCTCACTTCAGCATACAGCACTCTTTGATTAAAGAGTGCCACCAAAAAGAGCAAAAGATAGCCTGGTCCACCCTGTTCCATGTATAGAGAACACAAAAGCAACCAGATACACACAATGTAAAGTCTTGCTTAACCAGACTCTGAGTTAAAGGGAACCATGAATAAGTCATGAGAATCAATGAACTTGTTACCAGAGTGTTGAATTGAGACTGAGCTCCCATTGAAACTCACTGGATGACTTCAAGCCACCAGTCTCTCTCAGACTCATCCAGTTCCCAGGGCTGTTTCAGGATTAAAAACAAGGAAGGAAATATCCTGGAGCTCCATGAAAATTAGGCGAGGTAAAACAGCCCTCCTCCTCCTCATTGCTACCTTCTTCTAGATCCTGAGAATATGCAGTTTTCTTACCACAGCATAAGCAAAAGCATTCTGGGCTAGCACCAGACGTGGCAGAGCCATTTAAATTAAGAGAATGCAAATTAAAGTAAATAAATGAATAAAGTCAGAACTCGGCTACACATCACTATACTCCTCGTTTTGGTTCGGGATTAGCATACTTGAAATCAAATTTTAAATTATCTGACTACATGATGTACAGCTAAGCATTGGGTGAGAAAGTTAGTTTTGTTTTAAAACATCTACAAAGGAATAGTTTATTTTAAATTGATTCTGATCACACTTTTCCCCTCTCATTTTGGCATGTGTGAACACCTGTGTTAGAGTAAATAGTGTCTGTGGGGCTCTGGGGGTTTTGAGAAGCAGGCGCCAAGTACGTGGGACTTTGGACAGTAGGATACCCTGTGGTCCAAACTCCCCCTGATTCTATTTTTGTGTTGCATTGATTTATCACTATGCCAATTCAAAACATTTTTTAAAATGGTATAAACTGGATAATGTTCCCCTTCCTGTCTGTCACCTAAAACAGGCACTTGAGTCTTACTGAGCAAAGTAAACACACATAACTACGACTATCAATGGGTGGATGCTGAAACTTGGGAGATGATCAGTTGAGGTGAAGAATTGCAGCTGCACCTTCCTGAACTGCTACCCCAATGCTCTGCTGCCCTGCCCACCCTCTTGCTCTTCTGGCACCACTGCTGCCATGACTATTTTGGATGATCATTTTATCTAGCTGCTGCCTGGCAACTCCTTAGCTCACCATTCTTTCTCCTCTTTCTAGTTGTTACCATATGCCTCCTTAACTTGCCCAGTCATTCCTGCTGATCTTTCCTTCCTTCCTTCCTTCTGCTGTTTTCCCTTGCCCAGCCTAACTGCTGCTCTTTCCCCTCCTTCCTGCCACCATGCACATCTTTGTTGCTCTTTACCCTCCAAATGCAGAAAACAAACTGAAAGGATCTTAAAGAGATGGCCCCTTTCATGACAAATGGAAGGCATGGAAAATGGGGATTCGAGTTGTTCCATAAAGATGCACACACCAACACAAAAGCCACATGATGATAAACCAATTTTTAAAGCCCTGAAGTCTCAATTTAAGTCAGTAGTGCAGTTGCATCCTTAATTAGTCGGTCAATCAGTCATGGTTTATTCTAGTCCCATTAAGATCAGTACTTTTCCTCTAATCAGAATACATCCAATCCAAGTCTCTTTTATGCTAATAGATACTGTCACAGCAATTTCCATTGATCTGTGTTAAAAGAAAATTTAGTGACATTGACCTGCCCATTAACCTGTCATAATTTGCAAACGCACAGTTGCACAGATTGCAACTTATGTATGATTTTCCACCATATTGACATGCATGAACCTCTCATACATTGCCAACTGCCAGATCTGTCTGTCCTTAAGAGGCAGCTGTTAAAGGCAGAGGGGATCTTTTTGGATCAAAGATGATTTTAAAGAAATTATCTTGTGCCAGACATACATTCAGCAGCAACGTCTATGTTGGCTCAGGCATGTTGTGAGAATGGCTGACGGTTGGATTCCAAAAGATCTCCTGTATGGAGAATTAGTGCAGGGAAATTACCCCAGAGGGAGACCACAGCTGAGATACAAGGATATCTGCAAGCGGGATCTGAAGGCCTTAGGAATGGACCTCAACAGATGGGAAACCCTGACATCTGAGCGTTCAGCTGGAGGCAGGCAGTGCGTCATGGCCTCTCCCATTTTGAAGAAACCTTTGTCCAGCAGGCTGTGGCAAAGAGGCAGTCCCGAAACCAGCCAACTCAAGGAGATGGACAGGAGACAGATTGTATTTGTCTTCAATGTGGAAGAGATTGTCACCCTCGAATTGGCCTTCTCAGCCACACTAGATGCTGTTCAAAGACCTCTGTTCAGAGCATGTTACCATAGTCTCTCAAGACTGAAGGATGCCTATACTACATTCAGCATGATTCAGACACATGAACTGCCAATTCTCATCCACAAGAGTATTTGCTTCTTAGTGTTTGTTCCAATACCACCCTACTATTTCAAAATTCCCATTCCCTCCTCACCTTTTACATTGCATTTGAAGGTCTGTCTTACTACTCCGGTATTATTTTCCTTTTCTGCTGGCCATTCATAGACATACACTGTTGTTCGAGATGAACCAGCATCAAGCACTATTCCATACTGTAGGACGAAAGAGTCATTTAAGTTATACAGGTTGTTTCTTTTACTAAAGAATCACAGAAAACATATGTTAGAAATACACCCTGAGGTCTCAAGAGCTATTTTCTATTATCTCACTATACATTCAACTTTCTTTTTCTTTCAGTACCTGACCAGTCCTCCCATTAGGCAGAGTGAGGCATATGCCTCCATTGACAGTTACTGATGTGGCAGCTAGTCAGCCCCCCCCCCCTGCCTATTTCTATCCTCCAGAGCCAATGTTGGCAACACTTGCTTGATGCTGGACTGCAGCAGCTGCCTCCATTACTTAGTTGCCAGGGCTGTTCCCACCACCACCATCCAGCAAGATAAAGGGACCTGCCTCAGGTGGCAGGACATTTTTTAAAACATGCTGTAAAATATGGTATTTTAAATTGTTTTAATACTATTTTTGAAATTCTGTGTAAGCTGTCTTGGCTTCCTTTGAATGGAGAAAGGAAGAATATAAATTAAGTAAGTAAGTAAGTAAGTAAGTAAGTAAGTAAGTAAGTAAGTAAGTAAGTAAGTAAGTAAGTAAGTAAGTAAGTAAGTAAGTAAGTAAGAAATAAATAAATAAATAAATAAATAAATAAATAAATAAATAAATAAATAAATAAATAAATAAATAAATAAATACAAATAAGATAAATATCCACACTCATGACCATGCCCACACCCAGCAGCAGGAGAATCCCTCAGGGAATGCAACCCACAATGTATGACTCTGAGCAAGGACTCCTTGTTACAGGAAAGCCAATAGTGGCAATGGAGATTATGGTAGGAGGGCTGATAGCATTTCTTCTGCCACAGATGAAGGGAAAGCTCATGATGCATTGGGAGAAGTGCCTTCACCCAATTCTCTACAAGGTGCGCCCCTGAGAAAGACTTACAGAAGGTGGGCAGCAGGCAGCCCAGCCTATGCACACCACTAGGAATTGTGCATGCACGGGTGTTGCTCTGCTTGTGTGACAATGTTGCTGCTGTCGCTATTACTACATGGTTGTTTTTGTTGGAATGAACAGGAACCAAGCGGAGTGGTAAGTGGAAGAAAAATGTTGGGAGAACAGAGCTGTCTATTTATGCAGGCTTCTCTGCACTTCCATAAAGTCACCTGCTGCCCTCAGGTGTCCTTGAGGTGAGCATCTCACGGTCATTGTTGAAGGATAAGCCAACTGTTGGTGCAATTAGCTGGAAGAGTATCATCTCAGCAAAAAACATTTAAGGCAGTCCCTGCACTGCCATATCCCAAATTACTATTAAATGTCCCCCCCTCTCTATTTAATGACAGGGGTGGAGGTGCGGCTGTTTAAGAAAAATCAAATGCTTATACTCAGGGAACTGGGTTCATGGTGCTTTGATTCTAGCCACAGACAGGATACAATAAATAATGATATCAATATGCTCTCTGAAGCTTTCATTCTCATTTTATCCAAAGGCATACAGTGGCGCTATCTACTGTTCAGATTTTTTTACTCATATGGGTGGAGAGAAATTAATAGGGCATGAGAATACCACATGTGAGCGAATAAACAGGAACTGGAGAACTTGGTATTTTTCCTAAGAATTTTTTATCCCTCTCCTCTGGCAATATTATTATCAATCGCATTTGGCAGTACTTTACACCTATGTAGAGAATGGAGACCTTTGTTTAGGGGAAATAGTTTAGTCTGCAGTCCTATGGGCATTGATGCAGGGCACTGAACACCATGCTCTTCAAAGGCTGGGTTTCAATCCTTGTCTATTTAGCCATGCCAGAGCTGATCACAGATGTCACTCCTTTCTTTGAGGGGCTCTCTATTTTTAACCTCTACACACAGCAGGTACAGCAGGGTTCTCTCAATGCACAGAACAGTTATGCCTGTTGAATCTGGCTAATGCTAATGGGAGAGAACTTTGTTTTAGTTCAGTTTTAAAGAAATCACATACATTCACAAGTTTCACACATACGTATTTGGAATGGAGAGAACTGAAGGTAAAAAACATGACATAATTTTTCTCATTTCCTATCTGAGGTCTCCTCAAGTAATACACTTCCACTAGGCTACAATCAAATGCTTTTATTTTGACAGAGCTCCACATAGTTTTATCACTAACTCATCTCAGCCACTGAGCTTGTTCTATAATTTAGTTCCCCTGCTTGTCTTATTCCACCTTGAAATTAATAAGGCAGAAGGATAATACCATCAACATGTTCTAACTGGTGGGACAAGTAGACAGTTCCTTCTGCCTGAAGGAAAGCATGCCCATTCAAGAGAGCTCTTTCAATAGGACCTGGAAGCCCTTTTAGCTCGGTAGATTTCATCTTTCAGGATATAACTATCTGGCAATCTTCCCAAATCTGACCTTATTCATTATGTCATGACTGCACTGTGCCAACAAATGAAAACTCTTTTGAATTAGCATTTTATGCTCAAAGCTTTAACAGAAAGATGCCCAAGCCTTCTTCAGGAGGACACTTCTTCCTTTTACTGGGATAATAAAAGAGTGGTCCGGTGGGCCAGATAGGAGGGATATAAATAAATAAATAAATAAATAAATAAATAAATAAATAAATAAATAAATAAATAAATAAATAGGAATCCATCAGAACACCTTACACTACACATTTACTGAACGCATTTGAGGGAAACTCAGGTTCCCAATGCCTACCTTCCTATCACAGGAAAGGGAACAAATTATCGATATAGTCATACATTGCTGATTGGCTGTGTCTTATGTCAGTCACAAAGACACACATCCCTCTTAAGCAGGGCCATGCACAGCACTGTCATTGAGTGTCTGGCCCCTGCATGCGTTATGAAGCCAGCTCTTCTTCCTTTTCTCGGATAAGTTTTGAAAGGACAGTATGTGAATATGTGTGAAATAAAGACAACCAGGCAACTAATAGGCAGCAAACAAATTTTTGTTTACATGCAAGACAGAGTTGGGGTAGATAGCTCACTTGAAGTATCACAGGGCAGAAGATCTATGGGTATCTCTTGAGGAGAAAAGGCGAGTTGGGTGAACTGAAGGGAACCAAGCTTACTATGAAACAGGATAAAGGGATATCTTGTACACAATTGGAGCAAAACCAGGCCCTAGCATAATGTCCATTTCATGATGTATTTTCCATAGACTTTTATTCTCTGCATATTTTAATTTTATATTGGGGTCAGCAGATTGCCACACAGAGCAATTAAAGACCTATCCCCAATGTTCTGCTCAGCTACCTTCAGAATGAATGCAGTTCACTCACAATGGGCACTTGCTGCAACTGAACAGCTTGATATCCATGAGAACTAGAAGCTTGCTTTTATACCTATATGTGTGTTTGTTTGTGTGCATATGTATATCCACATGTTTTAAAGGACAATCCATAAGGATGCACAGGTCATGATCTTCACTGTCCCTAGGGAACACTTTAAAAAAAAGTTGGGTCACAGAGCATGACCTACAGTAGCCATTTCTAATTGCCCCAAAGTGGAATGGATTACCAAAAAAGACAACACAGACGTGCATAAAACTTTGTATACATTAATATATTTCTGTACATGCACATTTTTAAAAAATGCCTATATTTACAGCATATTTCTTAAACTTACCTTCAGACCTGGAGAAATTACTGCCTTCTGATTCAACTGGACAAGAGTAATAGTAACAATAATTGCAATGCTCAAAAGAAGAAAGACAAAAGTGACGATGGCTGCCATTTTGTATAGCACACGGAAACCTAAAAATAGGGAAGGGGAAAATTCTTTCATAATTAATTGAAAGGATTTAATTATATTATATTTTTACTGCACTTTAAATTAGGTAGTCTATGTTTCTCATTTGTCTAAGACAAGGAAAATCAAGTCTTATTGGTCATCTTTCTTATTACAGTAAGTGTACAATAGTAGACATTAAAGGATAACCTTACAAATTCCTCCGGAAATATCTGCTCAGCTAAATTTGTAGCCTGCATAATTAACTTGTAAACTGCCCAGAGAGTGCTTGAAGCACTATGGGGCGGTATATAAGCAGCATGCTTTTGCTTTTTGCTTTAAATGCATGCTTTTACTAAGCAGTAAAATGAGTACCCAGCTCGCTGGGGGGGCAATGTGTAGCCTGCATAATTAAATTGTAAACCGCCCAGAGAGTGCTTGAAGCGCTATGGGGCGGTATATAAGCAGCACGCTTTGCTTTTTTTTTTTTTTTTGGTACTGTCTGCATTAATGGGTTTTTGTCTTTCCTGCTGTGTGATAGGCAGAAATTTAATACACAAATGCTGTGATGGGGGATGTTTTCCTGTTGGGTTTCTGCCTGCCATGCACCTGTTTCAGACAATGAAACTCTGACAAAATATAAATGGCAAGTTCAAATAAACAGCTAGCGCACACATGCAGATATGCCACAGCCATGCTGCTTTGGGGATTCTGGAAATTGTACTTCTCCAAAACTAACTTTTCCAAGCTGCACAAGTGTATGGCTGCACTGAGACCACAGAAAAAGAACTACAAACTAGTACATCATGTACTGCAAGTTGATACTTACCTATGGCTCTCAGGAAACAATTCTTACCAAATGTTCTGTTTCAGAAGAAAAAGTGTGACTTGCCCAACTCGTCAATTTGAACAGATCTCCACACACTAGGAAAGCAAACAGGATTTTGTGTTTGATGACCACAGTGGAAAAGGTAGAATACTGGTGACAGATATGCACAAGTGACAATTTTATGCAGTAGGTATATAGTCATCCCCTTACAACATGCTTTCAAACATAAACAGATGGTGTACAGAGCATAGGCCTTAAGGCTTAAGGATATCAAGTACATGTGCCTGATCATTATGGTGTGCTGGAAGAGGCCTTTTAGATCTGCAGTACAATACATGGACTACAATACATGGAGATATAGGAGAGGCCTTTATTCTGATGCTAAATTAAAACCTGACCGTTTATCCATTTGCCACCTGAAGAATTCATGGTTTTGCTTCAAACCCTTCAGTCTATTGATTTTGTTTTCCTTGAGCTGTTCAATTATTTTAAAATACTTGACTTTTTGGCTTGATTCTTTAACTTGATTTTACTGAGTGTATCTGTCTTAGAGATCTGTTGACATATGGTGGGTTGTTATTGTTTAGTCGTTAAGTCGTGTCCAACTCTTCGTGACCCCATGGCCCAGAGCACGCCAGGCCCTCCTGTCTTCCACTGCCTCCCAGAGTTGGGTCAAATTCATTCTGGTAGCTTCAATGACACTGTCCAACCATCTCGTCCTCTGTCGCCCCTTCTCCTCTTGCCTTCATATTTTCCCAACATCAGGGTCTTTTCCAGGGAGTCTTTTCCAGGGGTGGGTTATAAATACTTAAATAAACAAATATACTTGAGGCTTCAAGAGAGTTCAGTTTTTTGTTGTGTTTATGATGTTTTATCGCAGTTCAATAGAAACTGAAATAATAACACATCCTAACCTTGAAGGATAGTTGAAGAAATGGCTCTATAAAAATAGGGGAGATATATATATGTGTGTGTATATATATAGATATATATGGAGACTACAATAGCATAATTGTTGCAAAATGTTTCAGTGACATGCTTCTCTTCCATGAGTAGATTTGACGTAGTCTTCAGTGGTTTTATGTTTTGTTTTGTTTTGTTTTTATTTTCAGTCCATAATGCATGTGAGGTATCACAGGTGGCTGGCTCTGCCATTAGGGAGAATAAAGCAACAGTTTAAGGTGGCTGCCTCTATGTGGCAGCAATGGAACCTCCTAACAGGGCAGCAGTGGTATCTCCCTTGCGCCTCTTGAGACTCCTGGCTATTGTTCTGTGATCAACAGCTGAGTTCTGTGTGCCATGCCATCTGTCCTGCAGGATCTGGACAGTATTGCTGGATAGCTCAGTGGCTTAGGTATCTGGCTGCAGAGTTAGAGGTTAGGAGTTTGACTCCCCACTGTGTCTTTTTGACAGGAGCTGCACTTGATGATCCTTATGGTCCCTTGCAGCTCTGTAGTTCTACGATATTGTATCTAAATTAACCTTCTGCCTTCAGGTGCAGTGGAAGGTGCAAGCATAATGCCCATGATATCATCCTCCAGTATCAAATGCCAGATTCTGTATATGAAATGGGGTTGGGATGCCATCTTTGTTGTTTCTCTGAGGTAGCGAATTGTTTCCAACTGGCACTTATGATGTCTTATTCCCATAAAACTGACAGCGATGAATATGCTGCTTGAACTGTTTTTTTGACACAGAGCTGAGCCCTGTATTTTCTTTACCACTGACTAAAACTGACAGCTATGAATATGCTGCTTGAACTGGGTTTTTTTTTTTTGACACAGAGCTGAGCCCTGTATTTTCTTTACCACTGAATTATGAAGCTGTCACTTGTAATTTTGTGGCAGCATACTTCATAAGTTCAAACCCAGCTAACAAACCTTTGAGCAGAAACACAGCATATGCCCTTATGTCAGCTAAACTTTTTAATTATACAGTTATTACATTAGGGTAAGGTTCATGACATCGGAGTTAAACACAACACTACCATTTATTCTGTAATTTATATCTAACAAGGTAAAATCTATTCATATCTATTCATAAAGGTAAGGAGCACAATATTATATTGCAATCTCAGAGCCTGGAAAATTGGTTTAAAAAGGAAATTTAGTTATCACTACTATGCCAATTCTGATGGCAGAAAGTGTGGAGGAATTAAGGAACCTTGTAATGAAGGTGAAACAGGAGAGTGCAAAAACGGTCTGAAGCTCAAAAACTAAGATCATGGCCACTGGTCCTGTCACCTCTTGGCAAATAGAAGGGGAAGAGATGGAGGCAGTAACACATTTTACTTTCTTGGGCTCCATGATCACTGCAGATGGTGACAGAAATTAAAAGATGCCTGCTTCTTGGGAGGAAAGTGATGACAAAACTTCACAGCATCTTAAAAAGCAGAGACATCACCTTGCCAACAAAAGTCCAAATAGTCAAAGCTATGGTTTTTCCTGTAGTGACATATGGAAGTGAGAGGTGGACCATAAAGAAAGCTGACCGCCAAAGAACTAACTGATGCTTTTGAACTGTGGTGCTGGAGGAGGCTCTTGAGAGTCCCCTGGACTGCAAGCAGGACAAACCTATCCATTTTGAAGGAAATCAACCCTGAGTGTTCCCTGGAAGGACAGATCCTGAAACTGAGACTCCAATACTTTGGCCATCTCATGAGAAGAGAAAACTCCCTGGAAAAGACCCTGATGTTGGGAAAGTGTGAAGGCAAGAGGAGAAGGGGATGACAGAGGATGAGATGATTGGAGAGTGTCACCGAAGCTACCAACATGAATTTGTCCCAACTCCGGGAGGCAGTGGAAGACAGGAGGGCCTGGCATGCTCTGATCCATGGGGTCACGAAGAGTCGGACACGACTAAACGACTAAACAACAACAACTATGCCAATGCCTAGAAAGTAATGCTTCAATTATAATTGAAATTGTTAAAAGTAACTTTAAAAATTTCTCATGTTCAGGTGTTACGATCATCAGGGGAGGCCTTTCTATTGGTGCCTCTATCATCTCAGGCGTGCTTGGTAGAGAGCAGGAGAGGCAATGTACCCTCTAATTTTCAGCCCCGCTGAGTGTGGCTCTGACTCTCTCTCACCTGACTTCATGCAATACGCAGCTCTGCCTCCCTGCTCACTGGGCTCCATTGTGACCAGAACCTAATGCGATCGCTGAGTGGAGGAGGAAGACAGCTGCACGCAGGGAGGCAGAGACGGGCTCACATCCAGCTTAGCAGGAACCTTGAGGAGAGGGCCTTTTCTGTCACTGCACCCAGACTTTGGAACTCCCTCCCACAGTAGGCTAGGCTGGGCCCTTCTTTGCAGTCCTTCCCCAAACAGATGAAGACCTTTCTCTTCAGACAGCCTTTCTCTTAGCGATTGGCTGTATAAAGGGGGGGGGGTTTAAATGGAGTCTTGTGCCTTGTTGCTTTGTGATGATGATTTTATGATTTTGGGGTATTTGTGGTGTTTGTTTGATTCTTTTTAAATATTTCTATACATACTGTTTTAGCTTTTAAAATTTGTCTTTTAATGATGTAAGCTTGGGTCTTTTTAAGGAGAAAGGTGAGGTTAAATAAATAAATAAAATGAGTTTAAAAACCATCTGAGGGGTGACTACCTATCCCTCTAAAAATAAATGTAACTGTGGTGATCACCCACGTCACTCATGGTATTCGTATTCATGAGGTGATTTGCATGAACCTATGAGAGGACTGGAGAGGCGGAGTCAGCAGCTACATGAGGCTTGGTGGGAGAAGGAGGAGTCAGATAGGGTTGGTTGGTCAGAGAGAGAGGGAATGGGTACCAAGAGAGCTAGAGCTGGTTAGGAAAATAAGTAGAGAAGGTGGTAATGATATAGCAAGAGAAAAGAAGTATGTACTGAGAGAACTGTAGATGAATTGCTTATGTATAATGTGCATCTGAAGAACTTCTGTTATTATTCAATTGGCTTCACTCCAATAAATAAGTTCTGTTTCTGTTCACAGGACAAGTGTTCTGACAAACGTCATTTATATTGTGGATTGAGGTAATCCACTGGTGGCAGCGAGAAGAAAACACAACGTGAGCCTTTGTGAAGGAAAAGCAAGCAGGGGCCACAAGGGCAAACACCACAGTAACTAAAACAGTTCTAGTTATAAGTGCATTAAATGACTGCAGTTACAGCTCAACTGCAATGCACAAACAAAAAATGCAAGTAACTGTTGAAACTTTTATCTAGTTTCAAGAACTCCTAGACATGTACATTTAGAAGTAGGTTCCACTGAGTTCAGCCTAAGGGATTTCTAAGGAATTATCACAAAAACAAAACTAATCAAAACCCACCAAAGCACTGTGATACTTTTAAGGCTAATAGATTCACTATGATGTGAATGTAATCCATGGAAGTCCACACTGAAATAAATCTTACGTCTTAACGATGTCACAGGAATTGTTTGTTCCTTTTACAGTATTTTGTTATAGTCCCAGGAACTGTGACGCATGGCTATGATTGAACCCTTAAAGAGAATGTTCACATTATACGAGAAGTGAGTATGTCCCCAGAATTTTGCTCAGTTTAGATGACTAGCCCTACCATCCTGAGAGCACAAGGTAGACAACAACATATTGAAAATAAAGGCAGAACCAAACAGGAATAAAAATAGCATATACTACTTTTAATTTTTAAAATCCAATGCTAACAAAAACTGACCTCAAAAAGCTAGGTGAAACCAACTGCAGTTGAACACACAAATCTACATATGTAATTGAGCATACATAACTAGAGAGGGAAGGCTTTGTACATTGAAAAAGAGATGGTTCTTTTTTACCACTGGAGGATGCAAATGACAAGTAAATACAAAATGCTGAGGACTACTAACTTTGTGAGGCTTTTTTAAAAGGCTGTCCAAGCACAGAACATATCTCCCGCAGATGAGCACTGACATGTGAGAATATTTCTTTGCTTGTCCTTACTCGATAAGCGCAGATGGGAGAATTAAGGATGTTCCTGTCAGAGCTAACAGATTGCAAGAAGAAAAAGAGGAGGTGGTAGAATACAAGCTAGCTAACACTGATACCTATTCGTCTTCCTTCATTAAAACTGGAAAAACAGTCAACAGATTCATGTCCCCTCCTACCTACCTAAAAACCAATAACATCTCAACCCGTGGTTGCATTTAAATATTAGACTACTATTAGACTAGTGCAACTGATAACATAAATACCCTCAACTCTGAAGCCTAATTCAGTTACATGTAATGGACCACACAGGATTATTTATTTCTGACAGCTTGCTGCAGTTCAAGAGACATTTCCCACAAAGTTGGCTCAGAAATTATCCCTCTTTAGCTCAATAAAACATGTGGCCAGTGAACGGCATTAAATATATATCTCTTCAAAGAAAAATGTGGCACCATACATGCATGGGGCATGTCATTTTGCCTGTGGATTATAGGGACTAACCTGTTTGTTTCCAGGGCTGGCAGGACAGCGTAGTAAACATCTCTTTTTGTTCAAACTACACAGTGGAAGAAATACACATTTAATCTGAGATTTGTTTATGAACATCAAAGCATGTGAACAAGAAATTGTTGTAGAACTCAAAACATTGTTAGTCCCATAACAGCTTTGCAGAAAAAAACAGGAAGGGAAGCATTTCATGAATAGCTTGAAACAGAAGAGAGAGGCCAGGCTATTGGGATGTCCAAATACCAATACAGCACCAAAGGCCTTATCCGCACATGCCAATGGATGAGGGGTTTTAATGGACCAGAGCACTTTGGAGTATAGTTTGGAGATAACATGCAGAATGAAACCAGGAATCATACTACAGGAGCTGGGGGCTTTGCAGTTAGAAGGTAATAAAACATTATTCCTCTAGAGACAAACTCTTTCATGACGGAACAATTAGCCTTGCAAATTGAGCCTGTGTTTTCACATTTGCAATGTGAAAAACTAGGAAAAACTCATTAGAATAAACAAATATCTTTTAACTGTGCAATATAGTTTGACTTACAAAATCTGTTGTGCTAGTTTTCTACTTTCAGGGAGTTCGGGTTTTCTTTTGTTTTGCCTGAGAGAATAAAACAAGTATGACACACATACCCCACTTGAATGCTAGACTCATACAGTCTGTTCTACCATATACAGTATTAACATTCAATGCTACTACATGTGTAGATTCACATAAACCAAACACAGGAAAGTTGGGAGGGAAGCTTAATTGCAAAGCAAAGAACTATCCACCCATTTCCCAGGATCTAATTATCTGTGTTCCTTCTTTCCTTTGATACACACAACTGAGTACAAATACATGTCAGTGTCATCAAATATTACCTGTAGACTATTCATGTAAAATCCAGTAAATACTCCTTAAAAATACAGAGAAGCAAAGACCCAATCTTTCATACTATTTTTAGAGAGCACTCTTTAAATATGCAGAATGCTGCTTTACAATATGGAAGAGGTACATACATACTGTACTTAGGCATCTGTTTCCAAAATACATAACATGAACATTCAGTCATTTTTTAACAATATAGCTAGAGAAACTGAAAGACAAGAAAGCACCAGCACCAGGAAGATGATGAGTAAGCATCATGAGTAAATCCTAATTGTGCATATATGGGAACCCTTTCAATGACAAAAAGAACACATAGAGAGGCATGTGACAGGAGAGGGAGCATACCAGAAGAGTCTATGTGTCTCTGAAAGAGAAACACATTATTACAGAGATGGTATCTGTATGCGTAGGATTAGACACAGAGAGATATCTAAGGTCATAAATATGCAATTGCTTATATTTTACGCTGTGGTTTTAGCCACAACTTGTAGTAGTCTTCCACTCAGCACTAAACCTTGAACGCCCTCCTGGTAAGCAAGGGCACCAGTGGGCCTGGATGCATTTCTTTTTTAGTGGAAAACTCAGATTTAAAAATATAATTGATAATTGCTCAGTGCTATCTCTAAGCAGACTTTGTAAAACAATATGTTGCAGGGATAATCTGTCTCAACCTAAGAAGGTAAAGACAAACAATTGCAACAACTTCCATTATGAAAAACAAAATGCTTGTAGATCAGCCTTAGTAGAGGCATGTGAAAATATTTTAAACTTCTTTATGTTGTACGACATCTCTCCTTTTTTAGGGGGAAAATGCCGATGATCCGCCTTTCCTCCCAAGTGGGTTCTTCTTATATTGCGGCTTTCTGTCTACACATCTTCTGAAGACGTGCCACGCATCGGCACAGGATGGCCTCTGCTAGGACAACGCACCTTTCCATCATCTGAATTTACACATCCACAGACAGCCACAGAGGCTGCTTCCGTGTGTGCTCGTAATTCATCCTCTGCCATCCTTTCTGCCCAAATCTCTCCATATGTGCTAAAAAAAAGTGAAAATAAATAAACACCTGCCCTGGACATACACATCTCTCGAGCCACTCGTAATCTCCCTCGGCCACCACCTGAATAGCCCGGCACTCACCTGGCACGCGCACCAAGGGTCGTAGGAATCCTCCCTCCGAGGCACGGCCGCAGCCGCCCCCGGCCCACAGGCGCAGCCTGTCGAGATGCTCGGGCTGTCACGGCCGGCCGGTGAAGACGGGAAGGCTCCGCGCCGTTCTTAATATATCCTGCGTTGAAGGGGGAGCGAGGCAGCGGAAAGGGAGCTGTCTCGCTTCAGACCTGGGACTCATCATCCC